ATTTTCCCACTTTCTTTAGCTTCTGCAGGAGGAAAATTATCATGGTTTATTTTTCAATTAAAACTAGCAGAGTATAGAGATATCCAAGAAGGATATTAAAATATACTTTACTATTTGTCAATCTCTGAAAAATTCCTAAAGTTAAATACCTAGTAATTCATTCATTTATGAACTTTCTCTGAATCATTCATAAATCCTGAAGAAATGAGCTATGAAAACTTCTTAGCATCCCATGGAACTCACAGCAGTTATGACTGTTGGTTTAGAAAATGGTGTGTTTAGGTCTCCTTAAAAGTCAACCCTCCTGTGAAGTTACAAGTTTCTGTCAAGTGGATCAAATAAGGCTGTAGAAAGACCTGACCAGGCTCCTTCACTCAGGCTGTGCCAGCTCCTCAGAGCACTTTATCAGGACCTCAAAGTGAACTTACCAGTTCCTTGTTGTCATCAATCTTCACAAGTGAAGAATCCTTGCTGTGGCATGACTTCACACTCTCCTCCCAGGTTAGCCATTCTTGAGAAAAATAGTAGCAATTTCTCCCACAGCAAAACCATTTTTCTTTGCAGGAACCACAGCGTGGTGCTTGAAAATAAAAGTCACCTCCACCCCAAGACAAGAGACCATTTAGAGACACGCACTTGTAGGCCTTTAGTTGGTTTCTTCACACTGGGTTACCAAAGACAAAGTGGTTTTCTGTACCAATTCATCCTCTGTCAGATTCTATAGAAGAAGAGACTATTGACAAGAGATTATCCCTGACTGACACAAGTCATTGTGCAGACTGCAGTGAGCATCTTGACTTCTCAAGTATCAGCCAAATACAGAGTTCAGAAGTCCTAGTCCCTGACCAATGAATCCGTCCGAGTGAATGGACAGCATCCCACATGGGCACCCATCCCAGTCCTGTCTAATCCCCGATTCCTCTGGCCCAACCCTGGCAGCTGCAGCCATCTGGGAGGTGCACTGGTGGATGAAACATCTCTCTCTCACACTCTGTCTTTCAAACAAAAAAATGAATAAGTCTTTAACGTTTATGAACAGGGATGGTGTTGATCTCAAGAGAACTCTATTGAAGGGGAAATGCATCCTTTAAGGATAAAATAGTCAAATGTGAACATTTTGAAAGCCATGTGTTCACTTAACTATAGTTTGCAAAACAGATTTGATGAGGTGAAGAGAGCTCTGGGGCCAGTGTTGTGGCATAATTGTTACAGCTGCCATGTGGGATACCCCCATCTAAGGTGGATGCCAGTTTGAGTCCTGGCTGCCCACTTCTGATCCAGCTCTCTGCTAATGTTCCTGGGAAAATAACAGAAGCTAAAGCAGCTGCTCGGGCCTCTGCACCCATGTTGGAGATCTAGACGATGTTCCTGGCGCCTGTCTGAGCTAGCCAAGCCCTGGCCATGGCAGGCATTTGGGGAGTTGAATAATGGATGGAATGTCTATATCTCTCTTTCAAAGCTCTTATCTCTGCACCTTTCAAATAAATCAAATAAATCTCTTCAAAAACATGCACAAATTATGCAAAAGTCTAATATGTATACACATATATGTAAAACCTTTACATTTGTATATTGAAAAGTGCCATAATAGAGTAACTCCATGAATAAGTAGTGTGTCACTTATTACTTCAACGTTAAATACATACCTGTACCAGATTGTGAAGTGAAATTATCTTCAGTTTCCGGTGAGAAAGTATTGTTTTCTTTAAGATTTTTCAAGTCCTGTGTTGCAGGTTTCTGAAAACCTTCAGTGAACATCACAATATTAAGATTATGCAAAGGTTCAATTGACCATATTGCAAACATAACCCATAATTGTAAATAACAAATTAAATGTAGCTTGCTACATTGGAATAGAACCATAGTAAATATAAGGTAAAAATATTTTCAAATGTCTGAGTATGAATTAGTTTTTATAAGTAATTAGAAGATTTTTAAACATATATTGTTGCTCCTTTTTTCCTTGAAATCGTTCCATTTGCTTTGCACTTAATGTTCAATTGTATAAAATTCTCCCATGGTGTACATAAAGTCTTGTTGCTCCTTTTTTTCACTTTAAATTATCAAACTAAGATCCATCCACATTGTTACCTATCATTGTAGCTCATGTATATGGACCATTGCATAAAATCCATTTTATGAAAACAGGACTACTTCAAATTGTCATGGAAAAATTAATTTAAAATGTTTAATAAGTTTTATCCATTGTTAATTATCCTTGACCGTACGCTCTACTCCACTGAATCTGTTCCAGGCAATGCTAATGGCCCCCTCTTGCCAAACTGAGTAAGCATGTTTAGTCATTATAGTATTTGTCTTTCAGATCTATATACCACTCCATATTTTTATAAGACCTTTTCATCATCTGAATTCTGCTTCCTCTCCCACATTCTCAAATATTTATGGTATCAATTGATGAAGCTATTTTAATCTCTAACCTCCACGCCTGGGTCTCAGTCCCCAGGCATGTAATTCCACAATATGTATGCCGATGGTCCATGTATGTCACCGGAAACTCACTAGGAATTTGAAATATGTATAGAAAGCACACAGTGCCTGCCCACAAAAGTCTTGTGTAATCCACAGTATTTTATGTGATATAAAAGCTAATGATAGCAAAGCAATAAACGCTTCACCATCATCAAAGCCCTCATGATTGGCAACATGTCTATAGAACTGGACAGTTTACAAACTTGAAGCAGTTTCAGTTTCTAATTTTCCCCCTTGACTCTTGTTCCCACAGGAAGTAAGCACTGGATACTCACCCATATATCCTAAGATGACGATCACCAGGAGGAGCAAAAGGCATATGATTCCCAGGATTAATGTAAGTTGGTTTCCTGTAACAAAACCAAAAAGCACGATACATCATAAGCATGGCAAACAGATAAGAACTAAAGCAGAGTGAATATTTATGTTGGATCATAAGTGTCATTGATTGATTGTACACAGAAATAGATGTTCCAATATATAAAAACAGTAAGAAATCAGAGCCAGATGTTTGACATCAAATACACATGGCTTTAATTTTTAAAAATTCTTTCCTGCTTGATATTGTATTTTCAAAAATCAGGAAAAAGAAAAAATGTTACCTTTCTTTCTGTGAGCTGTATTCTGTTTGCTTCTCCGTTTCTTTGAATCAGGAAGTTTCAGCTCTGAGTAGGTCACTTTCTCCTCAGTCATTGCTGAGAGCATCATGCAAAGCAAAACAAAACAACAACAAAAATCAGACATGTCTCACAAGACATGCATAGCTTAATTATGTTTGTTGAGTAATGGTGAGAGCTCAAGGAGTGTAAACACTGGCTTGTAGAAAGTATAAAAATACCATTTTTCTCGAAAGGTGCTTTTGAAAAAAAGAATGATCTATTTGAAAAGCAGAGAGTTATACAAAGAGGAAGAAACAGAGAAAAAGATCTTTCATCCACTGGTTCATCCCCCACATGTCTGCTGCAGCCGGGGCTCGACGGCACAAAGCCAGGAATTCCCTCAGGGTCTCCCACAGAGATGAGATCCAAACACTTGGACCATCATGTGACCCTCCAGGTACAGTATCACAGGAGTGAGACAGCTGCAACATGAATTGGTGCTCTGAATATGGGATCACTTGTTGCAGGCGCCGGATGAATACACTGCATCACAGCAAATTATTTTAATTTATGTCTTAGAATAGAGACCCCGTTTGGTTAAGTAATGGTTCGTGATCGCTTACGGAAACACTGTATTAAACTTTTAAATTGATGGAAATTGATGTATCTCACACATAAATATTCAGATTTATATCTTCTCTCGCAAGCTTACACCTGATCAAAAAGTGTCTGTGCTGAGTCCAAATACCATAAAATGACCATGAATTATTGTATATTTGTAATTATTGCCTGCTAATCAGTAATACATCCCTACCACATTTCTATTTCTACAATTTACCCATCATTTAATGGAAGAAATATGTCACAAAGAAAAAAACATAAAAATCTAAGACAAAAGGCTCAAATATTAAATCCCCCATAACTATAGACTCTACAACCCCATAAACAATCAAACAATAATTAAAAGCATAGTTCTTTAATAAAAGCATCCTTAATTTGTCTAGCCAAAAATTTTAAAAGTGGCTAAAACGGCTGCATATTCTATGCTCCAAAAAATTGCAAACAGGCTAGCCTTTAAGGTCACAATAACTATATTTATTGCCTTAGCAGTTTCAGCTCTCACTCCCATCATTTTCATTGATCTTTAGCATATTTATCAAGCCCTTTCCCAGAAAGTGTGCTATATGTCTGGGCCAGATTCTGAGGCAATGGTTAGGTACCTGATAAGGTGTCCAGAAATGGCATGGGCTTAACTGTGTTCCTATGTGCAAATTGTTAAAGGTCCACTCACCAAGACATTATTAGCGACATTAACTTCTAAGTTTACAGGGTTGCAAAAGCGTCTCATAAGGGCAAACAACAATGCCTCAATAGATTACAGAATTCTTAGTGGGGTGGTCGAGTATCTATGCAAAAGGGGGTGAGACTACATCAAGGCGGTCAGAAAGACATGTGCCGGGCCCTGCCAAACAGCTGGAAACTCCTCTGGGTCTTGCCAAACGGGGGGCTGTTCACTTCACACCCTCATGTCATCCACATCCACTGCACGGACCCCAGCACTCTTTATCATGGGGAAATATTCAAAGAGATTATAAAATGTGGAAATGTTCAAAGAGAATATAAAACTGTATAACACAAGCTTGATATAATGTGGTTATAATTTACAATAAAATACAGAAGTAGAGTAAAAGAAAGTAGAAAAGAGTTTAAAAAAACTAGTTAGCATAATAATGGAAAATGCATGAATTATAGATTGTGGAAGAATATTATTTTTCTTCTAATACTTAATTTTCAAAGCATTTTCTAGAATAAAAGACAATGATTACTTCTTTTGTTTTCTTTAACAAGTCTTTACAATCATCTCCTTCATGGGCTCTAGGGCACACAGTTGGTGTTCGGCAAAGATTGGGATAAATGGCATGTCTCCATTTACTGAATGCTGCCTTGTGAATGTAAATGTTTGATCTAGGAAAAATACTTTACATAAATAAGCAGTATTTGCTCAATGAATCATGTTGACAAACCATAAGTAGTTTTTAAATATTTAGGCATATTCTTAAATGACTGCTTCAAAATAAAGTACTGAAGAAGTCTGAATTATTCAGTGACTTAAGAGAATGATGCAATTTTGCAAAAAAAAAATAGAATTTTTAGTACATACGAACAGAATCAATACACAGGTCTTCACAGAAAGATTGAATTTCATGTTTCTAAAATAACTTAATATTTCACCATTTAACTATTCTGTAATTTCAGGAAATATAAAGCAACCATCAAATAATTATGAAATGTACAAATATACTACTTATTTTTTTAATATTCTCTCTCTAATACAATACCAAACTGTAAAATAAACCTTAATTCAAGGTCAGGTATTTTCAAAGAAAAACTATTTTCTATTTATTTTTCCATTGACTATTTGTATGCATAATAAGAAAATAAATTGATAAATATTAAACTAGATTTCTTTTGACAGGAAAGTAATTGTATTAGCAAATCATTAAACTTTTATATTACAGGTGGCTTCAGGACGAGAGAATTCTTGACATAAGTCATTGCTAGCCTGTTAGGTGACATTCATTGTAATGAGGAAAAAAGTACATAATCTAATATTATATATATTCTTCAAAAAGCCTGAAAATTTAAGCAAAAAGTCACTTTCTGCTTGATTCTTTGGACACATTCTCATTCTGATCCATTCGTGCCTTCCCCCCTAGAATAAAAGTAACATTAGGTATTAACGTGAATCACAATTTAGTCTTGTACTCAAGACTCTCCCATCTTTCTACACATCAGTTCCATTCCAAAGGCTATTTTAGTCCTCTTCAATTGCTAGAATGGCAGTGCAACGTGGCGTCACATACCCACAGTCTCCGATCTCTGCCTGTATCTTGGGATTCCACCAAGGAGAAGCTTGGTCAGGAACACAGCTGGACGTGCTGGCTCTGTCGGCCTCTGTTCTGCTATGAGACCGGGAGGCTCTTGGTGTGTGAGACCATCCTTCAGACAGATCTCGTCTGAAGATAGCAGCAGGTGGTCACATGACACTTAATATTCCCACACAAGTTTCCAGTGATGTCAGTATCAGTGGTGTTGGTGTTGTGTTGTGTAGCAGAAAAGTCATAAAGTACCAAATGATCAATTTTATGACTACTTAGCAAACCAATCCAAAGTTAAACTTTAGCAGTTGCCCTAAAGTTTGGAAAGCTGAAAAAGAAAAATTATTAAGCAATACACATTCTATAAACTCATGAGGATGGGAAATACTTAACATTAAAATTTTAAAAATTATAAAAAAATTAAAAGACAAATGCTCATATTCTGGCTGGAGTAACTTCTTCATTTTTTGTAGAACAGATGAGAACCGAGATGGTTCTACATATTACGGTATGAGGAGAGAAATGTTCAAATGTGCACAAACATTGGCCTGTGTTTTTCTAAAAAAAAATTATTGTAAGGATATGCAGACTATTTGACACAAATATATGCAATATTGGGTTGATGATGTTGAAAACAGCATTTTTCCACTTCTGTATTCTCTTCAAATTGTCTTTCTTTAAATAGTAAATAGACTCTTAAATAGAAAAAGAGAAGCAGCAATGGAAAGATGTAGAACATTGGATGGATTTAGCCATAGCTCGATGCCTCAAAATCATCAGAAGTGGGAATTGAGACAATTGAAACTCACACCTGTATCCTTTATTTAAAAATCATTGTGGCATGGTTTCACATTATTTCCTTCCTCGCTCCAAATACAAACAGTCCTAGCACCTTCTAAATATCAGCAGCAAAGCTAGATTCTCGGCTTTCTTTCTTTTTTTTTTTTTTTTGTATAGATTTGTCTTTTGCTAAGTCTATTTTTCTACTAGGAACTGGTCTTCTTGTGGAAGTTGGTCTCTGACATAGAGCATAATAATTAGGAAAGTGCTTTTTAAATCCTTCAGGCAACCAGGTTTTATCTTAAAGATCATTACTTGTTTATAAGCATGCCCATGAACTATGATCTTCCATACTCATTGGCATTAATTGTTCTGCTTGCCTAATGTATATCTCTAATAATATATTTCTAATCTATGGTATTAGATCAGTTTCATTGTAAAGATATTCTCACCAAAGATCTCATATGAGCTTAAAACATCATACATCTTTGCACTCAAAAATGTTACTGTAGTTTTAGTACTTCTCAGAATGTTTTTTAATTCCTCTTTTCTACTTTAAATTTATGTAACCATTAAGAACAGAGAAAGCCTTGGCAATCAGAACACAACTGGGAAACATTATGTGATGCAGTGAGTTTGCAACTAGCCTAGATTCAGTCCATGTACTAGGAAGTCGCTGGCCATGGACAAAGGAAAATTCTACGAAATATCGTAAGGTCAAGTCACAGGTCCTAGAAAAATTATCTCAAATACAATCAGATGGAAACCTTCAACTTTCTTTCTGTTTTTCACCAGCCAAGTCTAAGTTTGTGTTTGGTATATAGCCTGGACCTCTGCAGGGATCAACAGATTTCTCTTCTCTCATTACAACTACTCACACCCTATACAAAATCAATTTGAAGCATTTAAGAAGCTAAACATAGACCTGAAACTATTAAACTACTGGAGGAAAACATAGGGGAAACACTTGTGAGACAGTGGTTTAGACAAAGACTTTCTTGGTACAACCACTAAAGCATAGTTAATCAAAGATAAGAAGTGAGGTTATACCAACAAAAAACTTCAATCTAGCAAAGAGAACAATTAACAGAGCAGCTAGACAATTGACAGGATGGAGAAAATATTGGCAAACAGTGCATATGATAAAAGAATATGATCCAGAATATATAAGAAGCTTAAGAAACTCAACAACAACAAAACAATCCAGTCAATAAATGGGCAAAGGATATGAATAGATTTTTTTAAAGATTCACTTCTTTTTGTTTAAAAGATAAATTTACAAAAGGAGAAGCAAAGAGAGATCTTCTATTCACTCCCCAAGTGCCCAAAGTGGCTGGAGCTGAGCCAATCTGAAGCCAGGAGTCAAGAGCTTCTTCCAGGTCTCCCACAGTGGGGAACTGGAAGGGAAATGGAACAGCTAGGACATTAAACAGTGCCCATAATGGGATCTTGCTATTGCGGATGGAGGATTATGTAGCTACACTACTAGGTCCCATGAGTAGTCATTTTTTTAAAAACAGGAAATAGAAAGAACCAACAAGCATTTGCGGAAAAAAAAAAGTGCAGAATTGTTTTCCATCTGGGAAAGGCAAGTAAAAACCTCAGTGAGACATAAGTGAGACATAGCCTCACTCCAGTTGGAATGGTTATCATTCAAAACTCCAACAGTAAACATTGCTACCACACCCGATGAGAAAAGGATATTCTAACATTCTGCTGGTGGAAATTTTCAGAACAATCTTTAAGAAAACAGTACGTCAATTACTTGGCAAAACAAAACAAAAAGCTAAAATTTGATCTATCATATAACACAGATATCCCACTTCAGGGAATTGATCCTAAAAAGTGAAATCTTAATAGAAAAGGTGTGTCCACACACCCGTGTCTACAGTATCACAATTGACAAAAATTGGGAAATGTTATCAACCTTACTGGCTGTCAGCGGATAACTGCATAAAGAAAATGTGGCTTATGTAAACAGGGGACTGTTACTCAGCCATGAAACAGAATGAAATCAACATCTGGAATAAAAAGAGTGGAAATGGAGATTATTAAGCTGAAGTGAAATATGCCAGGTGCAGAAAGACAAACTCCACATGTTTTTTTTTAATATGTGGCAGTAAGTATAGCGAGACCATCTGTATGCAAGAAGTGGCACTATTTTTAAATGGAGGTATGGATACAATCAAAACATTATGCTAGTATATTTACATAGCTGCAATTTCTTGCATCAATATTGTTTAGCTGAAGGTTGTAAGTAATCATGTGTAACTTGTTCAGTTTCTATTAAAATAATGAGATGAGAGTAATGCAATTTTAAATGTGTAAGCATTTTTAACTAGAAAGCTGCAATTAAATTCCTATTGTTTTTTAATTCAAATATGGCTTGAGAGAATGTTGATTGTGATTTATAATATTTCTAACTTGTATATTTTTTCCTCCCTCAAGATGTTGTCTAAACAAGTAAACATTCCGTGTGTACTCGAAAGAATGTTGTCTTCTGCTGCTGGGTGGAATACTCACTACGCATCAGTGAGGTCAGTCGGCTGATTCTGCCTGTCAAAGTTTTCATATTCACACTGACTTTCTGTTTACATAGGCTGGCATCTACTGACAGAAGTTTTTGAAGTATCCAGCTATCATTGAAGCATCGGTCATTCTTCCTCCCAATCGCATCAGTTTTGGCTTTGCGTATCTTCACATCTGTCCTTAGGTACTCACATATTTAAAATTACTGTCACCATATTGCATTGATGCCGTCAACATCATATAAATCTCTTTTTGTTATATAGTAGTGGTTGACACAATTATCTTTCAGTACAAAGAAGATATCACTTTGTCATCTTTTGCTTTGCATGCTTTCAGATGAGATGTTGCACTTCCAACTATTTCAAAACTGCTATGATCTGTTTTACTCTTGAACATACGTTTGTGACTTAATTGAGATAATTTCTCCTAGTGTACCTTCAAATTTTGTTTTTTTGTGTTAATTTTCTATCTTATGTCCATTTTTCTGATGACTGCATGGAAGGAATTCTTTCAGCTATGATGTCACAGTTTCATCTTTGATATTTTCATTTCTACCATTTGTAATTCTCTGAAAACTTCCATTATATGCTTATGGTTTACATAATTTTCAAAGTTTCTTTTATTTAAAAGCTAGAAAGATATGATCGTTGCCCGTGCACACGTCACTTCTGAAATGCCCACAACAGCTGCGGTTGGGACAGACAGAAGCCATGTGTCATGAGTTCAGGCTGGCTCTCCTTGTGGGTGGCTGGGATCCAAGCACTTGGCCCGTTCTCTACTGTCTCCTGGGGTGTGCATCTTCAGGAAGCTGGAATCAGAAACCAAGGTGGGATTCCAGCCCAGCACTCTGATTCAGGAGGCAGGATCCCAAATTCCATCTTACCCACTGTGCTCACCACCTGCCCTGTATGCATGCTGTGATAATGTCCCCGCTAGCTTTTTTGATGTATTAAATTAAACAAGGGGGATTACTTGAAATTTTCAGTGTCTTTGAATGTACTTGAATTCGCACCAACCATCTGATGCTTCAACAATGGTCATTTTCTCATATCTTCTGTGCTTGCTTGCTTGTGCTATTTTTAACTGCATGGCAAGTAGTGTATGTTTGTCCAGAAATGGACATGTGTCTTGTATTGGCTGTGATCTGGTTTGCACTTCATTGTTCCTGCGGTCACTGTCAGCACACCACAGACTTCAAATACTTGCAGAGCTGGGCTGCTGCTGCTTTGCACTTCATAGGAGGTCTGGGGAGACAGGAGCTTTTCTTAGCATTTGAATTCTACCCTCTTGCTCAGCAAGCCATGATGACCTACACCTTAGAAGAGACCTCTCGAAAGCCTTGCTCTGTTCCCAGCGACAGCTTCCTGTGTCTTTTTCCCATGATGTAGGATAGTGTTAGAAGCAGAACAAATGCCTAGTCTCTGTGTCTGGCATCAGTCTGGAAGTGTGGCCTGATGTTTTCACGGCATTCCCTGCTCCTCCTGCCCAGCAGTCAGGTCCCTCCTTGTGTCTATGGGAATCTCAGGCAGGAATGAATTTGTCTTCTGCAGGCACAGCACACCTTGACCCCAGAGAATTCTCTTTCTCTTTGTCAGGGACACTTCTTGGCTTCCACTGTTTCTGTTTAGAACCAGTGCCAGGAATTTTGTGCCATCCAGCAGGAATGAGCTGCTACTGTTTGCCAGTTGGTCCAAGCATTGCAGTGGGAATAACGGGGTTTCCTCCCTTTTCCTCTCTGAAGAGATTTTGCTTCTGCTTTTGTATCAACATGGCTTCATCTTCTCTAAGATCTGAGCCAGCACAGAGGACTATCTAACACCTCCCGATCTGAAGCACAGTGTGGTCTACACACAAGACCATCACTCTTTGCCGGTTGCTAGGAGACAGGTTTCTTGCCCATATTTCTGTATCTTGGAGCTTTGGCTTCCTGTGGAAAAAGAATCTGGAAGACATGGAGGTTGTCACTCCTTCTGCGTCACCAAGGGCTCTCCTGGGCTCTTTCCTGACCCAGTGCTTTTCAGGTGCTCCTCCGAAGGCTTGTTGAAAAGGCCTGCAGAATGAATGTAGACTGCTTCCAGGGAAAATTTTCAGTCCACACTTACCTTGAATGGCTTGCTAGTGATGCTCTGTTGGTCCTTGAGACATGTGTGTCTCAAAGACTGGCTCCTGACTGCAAGGGATGCAGGCATTCCACGTAATGAGTATACTGCATGCTTGCCCCATCATAATTTTAGACATCTGGAAATGATAACCTTGAGTTCTAGGCCAGTAGAACACTACCCATCGCCTGATGACAGGATACAGAGGGAGGCACAGTGGCTAAACGGAATCAATTCACAGCCTCGATGAAAATACAGCTTGAAACTTGTTGAAACCCATCAGTGATGCATTCCCATGGTTTCTGCACTGGGAGGGTTTTCCTCGTCCCTCCCTCATGCTCACCTACCTTTCCCTCGAAACAACGTCATCATTCTCAGCCCACGGTCCCTGATCCTCCATTGGTTAAAACTTCAGTCATTATTTGATGGTGCTATGCCAAAGCTTATTCAAACCAATAGCAGGATGTAAAACAGAACTAAGCAACACTGAAATGAGGCCCAGGGCTCCAGCTACCATCTCTGTTTTCTCAACTCTCCACCGTGACAACGGAAAGTTCCCCACAAAGAACATTACCAAATGCTCTCTGAAAAGAAAGCATGAAAATAGAGCCAGACGCTCCTTGAGAAGTTAGAACCTCAGATGCAGAGGAAGAGGAAAATTAGCTGGAGCTGCAGAGGTCTTCGAGCTAAAACCTCACAGGAAGCTCACGGACTGTACCACAAGCAGACAGCATTTCACTGTGTGGGCAGGTGACCAAGCAAACACTTCCTCTCTCTCCCCACCCCTTTCAACCCAAGGTCAAGGACTGGCCTTCCTTAAGTATGACCTCTTATGAGGCTGCATTGTGGCGCAGTGGGTTTAGCCACCACCTGATGTATCATCATCCCACGTGAGCTCAGGTTACAGTCCCCACTGCTCCACTGCAGACCCAGCTGCCTGCGAATGCACCCAGGAAAGCAGTGCAAGATGAGCCAACAACTCCATCCCTGCCACCCACCCAGGAGACAGAACTGGAGTTGCAGGCTTCTGACCTCTGGCCTAACTGCAACAGTCCCCGTGTTTGCGGGAGTGAACCAGCAAGTGGATGATCTTTCTATGTGTCATTCTGCCTTTCAAACAAATGAATGATTTTTTTTCTCCAAGATGAATAAATTTATTTTGCCTCTGAAAAGTGAATTCTCCCAGGATGTTCACCGTAACAGATGCTCACACTGTGTTAAAACCTACAGTGTTTGAAACTGTCAGTGCTTGGCTTCAGAAGAACCTGGATCAGTGTGTGTGTGTGTGTGTGTGTGTGTGTGTGTGTGTGTGTGTGTGTTGTTTTTGTTGTTGTTGCTGTTTAACCCTTTCTTACAGTCATGGAGATTTTACTTTAATTTCTGTAGTTCTAGGAATTGCCTTACTGGACTTTGTTATTGAGAGAAGAATAGCCGATCCCTTCATGGTGACTGACCTCTGCTCCATGAGGATGAGCTAGTTCTTGCTGCTGTCCTTCTCAGCGCCTTGTGCAGTGAAGACACCAACCCTGCACGGGGGCTCCACGAGCTGCATGCAGCTGTCCTCCCAGGGCTCTGGGTTTGCTTGTCGTTGCTGCTGCTCTGCAGCACCTGCCATCCAATCCTCAATGCTGGAGAGTAGGAGCGTGGTTTTCATCTCATAAGGGAAGACACAGATACACTGACATTAGGACATGCACAGGACATTGACATGGACGTATAATTGAGCATTTGCTGATCTGTTGGCAGGTGAGCTAGACAGAGAGCTTAAGTGGCCATTCTCAACATACTTCTCTGTAATTCATAATGAAAGTTCATTAAGTTTTAAAACATGAAATCTTTTGGGCCTGGTGTGTTAGTCTAGTAGCTAAAGTCCTCACCTTGCACATGCCAGGATCCTATATGGGTGCCGGTTTTATCCCAGGGACACTGCTTCCTATCCTGCTTCCTGCTTGTGGCCTGGAAAAGCAGTCGAGGACGGGCCAAAGCCTTGGGACCCTGCACCTGCATGGGAGACCCAGAAGAAGTTCCTGGCTTCGGATTAGCTCAGATCTGGTCACTGTGGTCACTAGGGGAGTGAATCAACAGATGGAAGATCTTCCTCTCTGTCTCTCCTCCTCTTTATAAATATGACTTTGCTAACAATAAATAAATCTTTCACAAAATTTTATTTTGACATTCAAGGGACATCATGCACAAGATCCAATAATGAGAGGAGATATGAAGCTGGGAAAAGCTGCATTTTTCCTCCGGTCAGTCATGAATTCACAGTGGTGCCACGAGATGAGTCGGAGGGAGGAGCTTGCCAATACCAGCGTTGTAATGGAGACGATCTGGAAGACTCGAGAAGAGCCAGAAGTGGCAAGAGAGCCTCTACGCTCCGTCACTTTGTGGCTTCTCTGGGAAAGGTTCATCCCTTACCACAGGGAGACCGTGAGGATGACAGCTCGGGGCCTCCCTTCCCAGGGCCCCGTCCTGCCTGCTTAGCAAGCTGTGGGCTCTGGACCAGACCCTCAGCACACACTCCATGGTTAGTGCTAGGAGGAGAAATTCTATCGTCTTTCAGCACACAGTGAAGTCTGCGGCTCTAACAGTTCTTGATCCCCTCGCAGTATTCTCCACACTGATACAGCCACCTCCTCCGAGAAAGAGAAGAACTGCCCCAAAGGACAGCCTCCTGAAGGTCACGCCTCTCGACAAACAGCCTCTGTTGTCCTAAAACTGTGTTCTATAAAAGAATACAGGACATCCTGGAGTCACAGCGCACTTGATGGTTCTTTTCACGTTAACTTCATGTCACAGTTTCTCATATCACCAGTGATTTATAAAAGGCATTTTAAAGATTTCTTATTTTATCTTTTTTTTTTTAAAAAGATGCTTGTTTTACTTGAAAAGGCTTGAGGAGAGAGAAGAGAGAGAGAGAGGGAGGGAGATCTTCCATCTGCTGGATCACTCCCCCCCCCCCGCCCAAATCTCTCAACAGCTAAATCTGGGTCAATCTGAAGCTGGGAGCCAGAAGATCTCTCTAGGATTCCCAAGGCCTCTGCATCCTCTACTGCTTTCCCAGACTGTCAGCAGGAAGCTGGATTGGAAGCAGAGCAGCTGGGATTTAAACCTCCTCTCCTATAAGGTCTCCTGGCATTGCAGGCAGGGGCTTACCCTGCTACACCACAATGTGGGCCCCTGCGTTTTCTGCTCTTCAACTGTATGATTGCATCAGATACAGTTAATCCTTCTATTACTGTTACATGTCCTATTTTACCCAGCAAGTCGCAATTCAAATGATGCTGAGGAAAAAGAAAAAAAAATCCAAATATGTAACATTTTGTGCTTGTTACTATATCCTGAAGATAGGTTTCCACAAGTAAAACCATTGGCTCAGAAAGTATTATCAGCTTTAAATGTACTGACACAGATATATATATATTTTTAAAATTTACGTTCAGTGATGACCTGGAAACACTTTCAAGAGCAGTTAAAACGACTACGTTTTGTAACAACCAAGTTTTATTTTCTCATTGAAAAGCCTTTTGAGTTGCTCGATCTAATGGTGCCGCCTGGTGGTCATTGTGCAAAATTACAAACTCAGAGGTGAAGATGTGCCTTTGCAAAGCACAGCCCACAGAAGGGCTCACGCTTGGAAGAGCGCCTTCAAATTGAATTCTAAGTTGTTTTTATTAACGGTTTCCTCCTTGCTGGTAGCAGTAAGATATTCCTGGCCCGCACATCTCCAATGAGCTGAAAGGGTCCTTCTCTCATTCTCAGTGAGCACCCAGCTTTTTGTTCTCGCCTAAGTTGAATACAGCAGCCTGCTTTCAGGGCTCATTTTCAGCCATGGGTGTGAAGGCCAAGAAAAAAAGAAATTCATTAACCAGCCCTCAGCTGGGTTTGCACGAGATGTCCTGGAGGGAAAGGCGGGTCTTTGCTGGGTTATCTTCCCTTGTGGCTGACCCTGGGTGGCTCTGCTCCCTGTCAGAGACCTCGACCTCAGTATGATTTGCCCTTTTTTATGCCTCCCATCAAAGCTGAACACTTAATTGTCATGACAAATAGTTGCATGGAATACACTGAAACTTCATGATTGATTGTCTTGGAAGTAAAAATGAATTAGCTTTACTGTGTGTTCAAACATAGCAGGCAGCACAAGGAAAAAACACTAAAATGAATTGAATTGTTGCATGTATAAGACCATGTTCAAAACTCATATTCTGTGAAAATAGCCAGAATCATATTTCCAGTTAGAAGTTCTGGATCGATTCCTTCACTTTCTTTCTCTTTCTTTCTTTCTCTTTCTTTCTCTTTCTTTCTTTCCTTCTTTCTCTCTTTCTTTCTTTCTCTTTCTTTCTTTCTTTTCTTTCTTTCTTTCTTTCTTTCTTTCTTTCTTTCTTTCTTTCTTTCTTTCTTTCTTTCTTTCTTTCTTTCTTTCTTTCTTCCTTCCTTCCTTCCTTCCTTCATTCCTTCTTTCCTTCTTTCCTTCCTTCTTTCTTTCTCTCCTTCCTTCCTTCTTTCTTTCTCGTGTGATTTCACTGCCATATTAGTACTTCCCCTATCATTTCTGGAGAGCAGAGAAAAGTCATGAAAACAGGAAAACCAGGGGCAGGTAATGTGCACAGAGAGATAAGCCACTGCGTGTAATGCTGGCAGTGAGTCTCAGATCACTGCTTCAAGTCCCGACTCTTCTGCTTGTACTCCAGTTCTGTGCTAATGTGCTGGGGAAAGAGCAGACCATAGGCCTCTGCCCCCCACGTGGGGGACTTGGCTGGAATTCCTGGCTTCTGCTTTGTCTAGCCAGACCCATGCCACATGGCCAGGTAGAGAGTAAACCATCAGATCTCTCTCTCTCCCTCCCTTTCTCTCTCTCTCCTCCCTCTCTCTGTCACTCCATTTTCCAAATAAATAAATAGAATCTCAGGAAGAAAAAGAGGTGGGGAGGAGGAAAGTAAGAAAAAGAGTGCTTCCTCTGTAATAGCTCAAGAAAAAAAATTGTCAGAAGTCATACGACCCACACAGGAGATAAGAAGGCATTGCTAATGAAAGTCATGTTTTGAGTAGGCTTTAGTCTTCACTTACAAGAAACCCTTAGAATGAATTTCTAGGTAGTGTGTGTATTGGAGTTCCCTACCATGTGTCGTGTTCTGTGGGTCATGAGGGATGGAAAAATACTTAGCTTTGAGGGGGACAAAATGACAAGATGTTATCACTTCAAAGAAGCTGACGTCTTTGTATACACACACACAACAGCGGGTCAGAGTGCAACCGGAGTCGTCATGAAGGTGCAAGCTGTGAAGCTATATTAAGAGTCTGCTAATGTTTTTAACCACACATCACAAGGGTTTCCTGCTTTTTTATTTTTTAATCTTACAACAACTTGTCATGTAGCACACACTCTGGTTTCCTGTCATGTTGTATCCTAAGAATATAATTTGTAGCTGGCGATGTTAAATTCAGAATCACTTTCATTTCCCTGCCCGTCTAACCTAGAAGTTAGTTCATGCTTCACAGACAATCTGATTGGTTTTTATTTTGTTTGCTTAAGATAAATTTTTATTTACTTATTTGTTTTATTTGATAGGCAGACAGAAACAGAGAAAACCATAAACAAATGGAGATCTCTGGCCCACTGGTTTATTCCCCCCCACAGGTCTCAGTAGACAGAGCTGGGCCAGGCTGAAGCCAGGAAGCAAGAATGCAATCCATGTTGGGATTTAACTTCACTTATAGAAACGTAAGTAGTGGGGCCTTCACTGAGGTGATGTTTACCCTTTTTCCCATTCCATATGGGTGCCACTTTGAGTCCAAACTGCATCACTTTTAATCTACCTCCCTGCTTGTGGCCTGGGAAAGCAGCAAAGGATGGCCCAAGGCTTTGGGACCCTGACCCCCCATGGGAAACCCCAGAGCAAGCTGCTGGTTCCTGGCCTCAAACTGGCTCGTTTGGGAAAGCGAACCAAGGAAGGAAGTTTGCTCTGTGTCTCTGACTTTCTCCTCTCTCTGTAGCTCTGATTTTAAAATAAATAAATCATTTTTAAGACATTAAAATAGAAACAAAATCAGAAAAAGTATAATAGTGTGATTCTTTGCAATTTAATTGACAAATATTTTAAAGGCATTTTTAACATGACACTATATTTGCAACAGAACTAATACAAATATGCAATTATAGTATATTTTGGGTTTTTATTTTTAAAATTATAACACAAATATAAAGAAGAATAACATAAGATAGTTTGCCTTTCTTATTGCACTCATCATGATGTATTTCAGTTCCAAACATTTTGATGCAAATAATAGAATTTTGTTCATCTTTATATCGAATTATACCAAGGCCCTGTACTGTATAGGCTCATTTACACAGTAGTCTTGCCACGATAAAATTTTAGAAACAGAGAGAGAACAGAGTGTGGAGAAATGGAAGGAGGAGATGCAATCAAAGAGCAACAGATGACAGGACTTGCTCCTTGGGAGATACATGCCAGTGGCCAAAACCAAAGACAGTACTGAATACTGTAAGCACTGGTTTCTTTCTGTGCATCTAAGACTGTGATACAGTGTGATTTGCAGATGAGGCACAGAGACAAATTGATAACAACAGCTGAGGATGACAATAAAATGATGGGCACATTAGACTGTGGTGAAGTTATATGAATCTCAAGAATATGGATGTGGGCCCAGTGTGGTAGCCTAGTGGCTTGTGCATCCTAAACTCCAGCGTTTGCCTTTGCAGCAGCCCAGCCAGCAACCCAACGGTCTTCATCACTGTTTTAGAAGATGTTAAGCCAATTTTGATGCTGCAAATTTTCCTTCTCCATCTTCAAACGACCATGAAAAAGTAAATCTTGAGTTCCAAGTTTATAAAAAATGATTATTAATGATAACCATTAAGAAACTATCTTTTATTGTGTGGACTAAATATTTATGTTCCTGCTTTACAATTTTCTATTTCGAAGCCAAATTCCCAATGGATGCCATGAAGAAGTGGAGAATTCGAGGGCTGCCGGCACAGTTCAGGCATGGATGGGATCAGTATCCTTACAAAAGGCAGACTTCTGTGTGCTGTCCTGCATGAAAGGGAGTCATCCGTCACCCAGGGCAGGCCCTGAGCAGACACTGAACCTGCTGGCACCTCAACCTCAGATATTCAAAACCATCCCAGAGAATATATATGAGCATTATTTGTTCTACCACACAAAGAAGCAATGGCAATTTTAAAAATACTAATCCCTTATGGCTATAAGCACAAACATATTTAAAATAATATTACCCAGGCAAATCAGGCAAAGCATAAAAAAGCACAGAAACTACATCATCACCAAGTGGCATTTACCCATACAGCAGCTTTACGTAACAGGCAAGAGTCAGTCAAGGCACTTCACGTCATCCCTTTACTGAGAGAGAACACGCATGTGACCACCTCAAAAATGCAGAAAATGCATAACAAAACTGAGCTGCTGTCCAGGATAAAATTCAAAAACTGAAGACAATTTTCTCAATATGATCAAGAATATACATGAAAAAATTCCTAATGAAACACACATATGATAATAAAAAGCTCAGCACTTGTTCTCTAAGATTTAAAGCAAGGCAAAGATGCCTGCTCCTTGTGCCTCACTTTGGCATCGTTCTGGAGATCCCAGTGAACGTGCATGTCATTCTGCCCTAATACAAACTAATTTACACTAATAGACAAACATCACTGGCTACCATGGGCTAGGCGAGTGGTGTGACGCAGAAATAAACTTTTAGAAGTAATGGAAGTGTCCTAAATTTTTATCTGATGGTGTATAAGAAGTACAATTACTGGTAACACGTATATCCTTCATGACTTATAAAGGGGACCTTTTATTATGCACCAAGTCGAACTCAATAAGATTGATTTTACAATGTCAATGTCAACAAAGATGATATGAACAGCTATTCCAGGTTAAAGGAGTTTTAGAAACACTAATTCCAAAGATCTTTTAATTAAATACATATATTATTCTGAACAATATATAGGACTATATAGGACAGGTAAATGGACAACATTTGAATATGGTTTATGTATTAGATCATAATGCTGTATCAATGATAAATTTTCTGATTTTGATTATTATATGTTGGTTACACAGGAAAAATATTTTCTTGGAAAATATCTAGACAAGGGAATATGATGTCTTCAATTTATTATAAGTTGATTCGCCAAGGACAGACGCGGGAAAGAGAATGAATAGAGCAGGTAGGGCAAAATAAAAACAATTGACAACCATGGGTAAGAGTTGTGCGGGAATTCCCTGTACTCATCTTTTCAGTGTTCAATAAATTTAAATTTAACTTCCATAACAAAATAATTGTTAAAGATGAAGAATACTTGTAATAGTAAAAAAGTAACCACATTCTAATTCTTATTTATGTTGTCAAGGTCAGAAGATGCCAATATGTTTAACCCATTGAAGTGGAAAAGATCCAGGCTGTATACCAGCATTGTCCAATTGGTTTAATGGATGGCTCAGAGAAACCAAAAGAGGATAATTCCTTGGGGCCATGAAGAAATGGGCAATTCCTTTCCAAAGTTATGTTTTGCAAGCCGTCCACAGTAAGAAGATGGTGTCTGAACCCTCAAGTCACTGTACAAACAAAGGTTTTCTTCCTCTTCCAGCTCATTCTGTTTCCACATCGAACTAAAGAATGCAGTAAAAAAAAAAAAAAAACATGTATTAATAACAAACACAAATTATTGTAGGACACAAGAATATTTCAGTCTTCTAGTTTTACCTTCTAAGTACACCTTGAAGTGTGGGAAATACAATCAATGCTCTTTTCACAGATGCAACTGTGATTTTTAGTAGAACATTCAATCGCGTCTACTCTTGTTCGGGATAAAAATGCACATTTTCCTATCCTAGAAGCTGATTTCATTAGTGAAAAATTCCTACAGAACAGAAAATATAAGTCAATCATTTAATTCTGAATTAACCAAACCCAGAATTTGTAAAATTTAAAAACTGTTTTTCCTGAATTCCTGATACATAAAAGCTTTTGCTTAGCCCATTAAATGCATTTATTCATAATCTCCCAGTTTATTGTGCACTGGTAATTAATGGTTAACAGAAAAAACCTTTTCAATAGTACTCTGAGATTGTGGTATATTAAACCTCCTTTCTCATTTTATATTTTCAATAAAAGTAAGTAATTTTCACAGAGGAAAAACTGAATTGCTGTGACACAAATCACCAGGTCTCATGAGCACATATAGTGTAAGGAACAACAATATAGTTCAGAGATTAGAATGATTCATGCTTTCGTTGTTTTTATTTCTTTGCCTTCTCCATCCCAAACGTAACGGTGAGCTAAAACATGGCAATCAATTGAAAACTAATGCAGAATATCTATTTCAGAAAAATAGTAACTTGGAAGTCCAGAATTATTTTCCTATTAATAATAACTTGAAATACTGGATAAATATTGAACCTTCTTGGCAAGAAGCATATTCACACTCAGGTGGAGTGTTAAATAGAAAGTTAAACAGAGATCAGAATTCGGAAGGATAACTTTAGCGTTAAAGCCAATTTGTACATTGATTGGTGTGATGAGTTGAATGCATTCAAAGATAGAGATTCTAAAGAAACAACGAACTACCTAAATGGTGAGACCCAACAGTGACAAATATTCACTCTAGAATTGTTTCAAATATTGAATTTAAGCAGAAGACAAAAATCATGAAAAATTCCTCATGCAATTTGCAAGAAGCATGCGTACATTCCAAGTTTATGAGATTTACATTCATCATGCATTGGTGATATCCACCTAAGCATTTGCCCAAAACACACAAATTAAATTACAACCGCTCCTCAGGGCAATCAAAACTCTGCAGCTGTGGCCAGACTTACACACCCTTGCATCTTCCTAACACACAAAATGTGTGTGCTGGCCACAAGAACCTTGTAGCTAGGTGATTTCCTGCAAGATGCCTTTTGTAGGTTCCCAGCCCAGAACCACACCAGAAACAGCTGCAGGACTTCAAGCTCTTACTAGAACTGGCCCAGATGTGGAGCAACAGTCAATGTGGGTTGCTTGCACTCCATGCAGGAGCACTGGGGCTTGACTCTCAGCTGTACTCCTGAACCTAGACTCCTGCTAACACACATCCTGGGAGGCTCAAGTACTTGGGTCTTACTACCCATGTGAGATGCCCAATGTGAGTACTGGGCCCCTGTGTTCTGCCTGGCTCAGTCCTGACTGCTGCAGGCTTTGGGATAGTGAAACCGCACTTATAGTCATTTCTTTCTCTCTCTGTTTGAAATTAAATTACAATAAATTACGCCAAATTCATAGTACTCCAAGGTATCCAACAAAAGCAAATTCTTTCTTGAGGAAGCCAACAACTCCATCACGATCACTAATCAGCTTCCAAACCAGCTCCAAAGAACAAAATGATCACTAAGTAATTTAAAGAAAGTAACATCATGAACAAAGGCCCGCAGAAACAATGGATTAGATTCCTAAAACTTCAAACACTAAAACTGTCAGATACCAAACATAATATACATATTTAATACCTCTCAAGAATTAGAAAAATGAAAAATATTAGTAACCACAGATGTTTGGAAAAAAAATAGAATGCCTAAAAGTAAACATTGTATTATCTGCTTATTTGAAAATTATTAAATCAGAACTAAATGTAAGCCCAGGAGTCTACATAATAAAAAACTATATAAGAGAAGACTACACAAAAAAGGTAAATTTGGCCTTGATGCAAAAGCAGTGTGAAGCCATGGAACACATAGATTTTCCATACGACACATGTTCCATGACCTTGTGAAGACATCTCATGTTCATGTGTAAGATTACATAGGTGTACAAATGTACACAGTGTACACATTTATACTCAATCATATAGGAACAAACATAACTATGCACAGACTAATTACACAAAGCAGTTCCACATGAATTTTGGGAGATACATAGGAACCACATTTAAGGGTGAGAGGGGAATAACTTGCTATGTCAGATGGCACAGTCACTTCATCCCTCAGACTCACGATTGCATTTCAATTTGCATCTCTTACAACACATCCTGAATGTATTTAGTATACCTTTATCATTAATAACTCCATATGACACTTCTCCTTTGTCTGTGCTTCCCAAAATGCTCTTTTACTCTTATTCTTACCAGTGAGGACTACTCAAAGTTAAGTTAAACTGTGTGATGTGAAAGATGACCCTTCTAGACATAATCCTTCAAACTCCTACACCAAAGTTAAAGTTTGAACACACACCAGAAACTTACATTCCAGGTGAGAAATCATCATCAACCCATTTCCATTTTTTCTCCTTGTCAACATACGACAGTCCAATCCAGTAATTATTACCATCAGTGTGCGATGTAATGAATGTCTATAAAGGAAACAAAATATATGAGAGAACTAAGTTCCCATCTGCTGCATGAATGTGAAAAGGCACAGGGGGCGGGGACAAGCTGTGCCTAAGGCCAGGACCCTGCCATTCTCCACATCACCTTATCTCTGCTTCTAAGAAATATCTCTTATCCTCTCACATCTATTTTTAACTTCAAAAGTAGCTTTCCTATCATGTACTACATATGTGAAAACCGTCTGCCAGTCTCCTGGATTATTTAAAACATGGAAGACTTTAAAATCTAAATATGTACTAACAACAAATCTCTTTAAGTAATTTAAGACCCTTAAATAAATTAATAAGCTCACACTCCAAAACAATATGTAATGTTATAGAGAATGGATCAATCCATAATCCTAAGCAAAGGAGTCGTTAAAATAAATTTCTTAAAATAAAAGCTTTGTGTAAGGGGTACCTAAAGGTTTCAGACTCACAAGAGAAATAAACAATGCTTTTAGTTTAGTAGTTGGAAGGGATACAAGGAAGAGAAGCAGTATTACCAAGTATTACACATGTCTAAAATGCAGTATGTGAAAGTGAGACATTACATAAATGCTGCTGTTTAAAATGGAGGTTTAGATTTATGTTTTAGGAAGAAGAAACAAAAAATTTGGAGACAGTGCTCACATTTCCCTAGTCTTCTATCCTCCCACCCTAATCAACTAGTAAACATCATATAAAATACAAATCAAATTTAATAAATGTGTCTTTGTTTTATCAGATAAAAAAAACTAGTCACTAGTTAGGAAATTATTTCATGACTTGATATTGCGAATTCAACTTCAGGATTTGTTATTTTTGCATATATTTGTAAGTCATTTTTCTAAATGATAGAGATTTCAGGCTGATGTTGGAAAACACATTTCTATAGAAACACACTTTGTATTTTTCTTAGGAATACATTAAAAAGACAACCTCAAGGCCAGCATTATGATGTAATGGGTTAAAACACCAAACTTCAGTGGTGTCGGTATATGTTCTGGCTGCTTAACTTTTGATCCACTTTCCTGCTAATGTCGATGGAAGAGCAGAGGAGGATGGCCCAAGTGTTTGGGTTCCTACCACTGCCACGGGAGACCTAAATGAAATTCCTAAATTTTGACTTCTGTCTGGGCAGCCCTGACCTTCACAGCCAAGTGGGAAGGGAATCAACGGATACAAGTCTCTCTCTCCTTTTCTCTCCCTCACATACACAGAGTGTCTTCCTTTCTCGCTCTTTCTCGCTCTTTCAGATGACTGTCATAACAAATAATATGCATTGAGCACTTGATGAGTAGCCTAATCATATGCTTATCAGCAAACAGAGTGTCCTGGGAGATTCCTAGCTGTACAGTCATGACAGTCAGACAACAGACATGACACAAAGAACACTTGAAGACCCCTCTTTCTGCATGCCCCCCTCCTTTCTCAGTATCGCAGGTTGTAAAGTGAGACAGTTCATGACAATGAGAGTAAATGGAAGAGTCCATGATACCTGTTCCTGCTCATTGTCTATCTTCAAAAGCGAGGAGCTGTACCTCTGGCAAGTTTGTTTACATTCCTGCCAGTTTTTCTTTTCCTCTGTAAAATAGTAGCAATTGACTCCATCACAGGACCAGTAGCCATGATAGCTGTTACCTACAACACAGAACCAATTATTAATTTTTTATTATATGATCTTCTAGTAATCAGAGCAATATATTAATCAGCCCTCCATAATAGACTCAAAGGCTCAAGATCCCTCTATGATAATAGCAACAACAATATGGGGATCTCCATGGTTCAGGAATGCCAAGAGATAGCTGCACTCCCATGTTCAAGACAGAGTAATCCTCAATAGCCAAGAGATGGAGACTACCTAGACATCCACAGATGGATGAATGATGTGGAACATGCATACATACAATGGAATGAATAATTAAAGAAGCAAATTCTATTGTATGTGACAGTATGGAGAAAACAGAGAGGACATTATGTGTGAGGAGCAGAGTCTAGGGGTATGAGGTATAACACAGTGCTTCTGATTAACAATGTTGTTTTGTACACTCAAAAATAAAAGTACACTAATGTCATAGTGTACTTATCAAAAATAAATATAGAAATTAGCAAATAAATATTGAGAGTCAATGGATATCTTGATTATTCCTATTATGATCATGCTATCACGCAATACATATGTCCAACTTATCAAAGTACATATATTTAATCTATAATGTTTCTCTATCCTGAACCTATTTAAAAATTCTAGCATGCTTTCTAACTTAGGAATATATTTGCAACCTTTTCTTTTGTATACTTATATTTGTAACATTACAATGTAATATTGCAATATACAATACATACAATATATTTCAGGAGGTATATGTGAGTGCATTTCAAAAAGTTCAGTGATAATGGAATTAACATACAAGCTGAGTTTGCATACAAGACATTTTGAATTACTCTGTATTTTGCATGAATTTTAAAATTATCTGGTATTGATGGTCATAAATACAAACACACGGGAGGTCTAGACACACACACACACACACAAGGTATCTTTATAACAGCATTCAAATAAAACTCCTTGTGTCTTTTGTAGGTCAGTTATGCTTTTTTCTTAAAGCTTTCATATTTTGTGTGAGCCACACCCTAATTCTCACTAGACCAAATCATCTATCTCCTGGGGTGCTGGTCCTCTCTTTCACTGTTAGTAATAGCAGGGCAGCAAGAATTGCCATTGTATTTTGGGAGTGACAAGACTCTACTAATCCAAATATGATTCCAAGGATTCCCAAATCCCATATTTGAAACAAGAAAACAAACCACCCACATTTCATCTGAAAGACACAAATTGAAAATTGTCCCGTAGACCCAAGTCACTGGGGCAAGCATGCTTATAAGACTCCAAAGATTTTAGAAGGGGACTGCAAAGCAATACAAACTTTCACTCCAGATTCCTTCCATACCTGAATTTGTACAACATCTAGTCTTTTTTGAAAGGAATGACTCCAGTGTCTTTTGCTGTAGAAGGGTTTCATTTCTGAGAACTTCACATTCTGAAGTCTTGTTTGCCAGAAGTTGCTCCTTCAAGTACTCACTCTGACTGAGATTTACTAAAATTTCTTGCTGCTGATGTTTTTCTTGAATTAACTGGAAAACTAAAATTTGAGACATAAATATCATAAGAAAATGCACTCATGGAGATCAAACAGTGAAATTAAAGACTTTAGAAAAAGTCTCACTTCAACAACCAACTGTACTCATTAGTTCAGTAATTTGGCATTAGAAAGTCACACCTCGATGAACTGACCACAGTGATGGAAACATCACATTTCTCACTATTGGCAACTTAAGGGCAGAAAAGCAAAATACCCAAATAAAATTATGATGGCTAACACCATAGCTTACACGCTGGTTTATTTTTAGCAGTATATCATTTACAAATATCTACCACCATAAAATTCAGTTCGTTAACATTTACCAATTCATCCTCTGTAGATAAAGACCTAAACTAGGGGGCAGATGCTTGTCCTTGGGGTTAGGATGCCCATAACTCACATCAGAGTCCCTGGATTCAATCCTGGCTCCTGACTCCATTTCCTGGGAGCTGATGGGCATCTGTCATGACTCAAACAGTGAGTTAGTGCCATCCACATGGAGCACCAGAATGAACAGTTACAAACTTTCAACTTCAGCTGCAGGCATTTAAGGAGTGAACCAACAAGTAAAACTTTTTCTATTTTCTCTTTCCTTCTTAATCTTTCTTTTTCCCTTTCTCTTCTTTGTTTTTCCTTCCTCCCACCCTTCATCCTTTCTTTCTTCTCTCTCTCTCTTCCTTTCTTTCAGTGCTTTTTTTCCCTCAGTTTCTTTTCTCCATCCTTTCTCTCTCTGCACATTCTCTTTCCTTTTTCTCCCTTTCCTTCTTTCTCTCTATCCTTCTTTTCTTTCTTTCTTTCTTTATATTTTCTTTTTTGTTTATTCTTTCTCATTCCTTCCATCTTACCTTCTTTCCTTTATCTCTCTTTCTCTCTCTGTTCATAAATAAATAGAAAAAAAAAAGGTGAACTAAACAACCATGAAGATATAGCACAATTATTATTGTATTAGCTGTAACATCTGAAAATAGGTGATGTTATCCAAATGTGGAATGTCCATTGTGTTCTACAAATATTTGAGGCAATCCAAATACAAGATTAAGCTTAAATTCAACATCAGTTTGTATGTATGTTTTTGTTCCTCTTACCATGTTCTTATTACATATTTAAAAATGCACAAAATTATCAACCAAAAGGAATATTACTGTGTGCTATAAAGAATAAGTTACCTTCAGAATAATACACAACAAATGTAGCCTCAGAATCAGTAGACTAAGTAAGCAAAATGAAATGCCACTGTGATATGTCCAAGAAAAACAATCACCAACAAGGGCCGTTACCTTGGCTTAGCATGTAAAGCCACTGCCTGCAGGGCCAGCATTCCATAGCGGTGATGATTCGAATCCCTTCTCACCTCCTGCTATCCAGCTCCTTACTAATATGTCTAGGAAAGCAGTGGAGGATGGTTCAAGTGCTTGGACCCTGCACCCATGTGGGAGACCAGGAAGAAGCCCCTGGTAGCAAACTTTAAACTGGCACCAGCTTCCAATGGTTGACATTTGGTGTCTGAACAGATGAGATGGATGAAAGATCTCTCTCTCTCCTTCCTTCGTGTGTGTGTGTGTGTGTGTGTGTGTGTGTGTGACTCTGCTTTTGAAATAAAATTAAATACTGCCAAATCAGCCTTTGAAGTTTTATTTTATTATTTTTATTGCAAAGTCAGATATACAGAGAGGAGGGGAGAGAGAGAGGAAAATCTTCTGTCCAATGATTCACTCTCCACGTGACCAAAATGTCCAGTGCTGTGCCGATCCAAAGCCAGGAGCTAGGAGCTTCTTCTGGGTCTCCCACGTGGGTGCAGCATCCCAATGCTTTGACCTATCCTCAACTGCTTTCCCAGGCCACAAGCAGGGAGCTAGATGGGAAGTGGAGCTGCCGGGATTAAAATCAGCGCCCATATGGGATCCCGGCGCATTCAAGGCGAGGACATTAGACACTGGCCCATCAGCTGGGCCAGCAAAATCATTTTTTTAATCCCCAATACAATTCAGAACTTTCAAATGTTCTAACAGGGAACATTATTTAAATATCTGCGTATTTGATTCTGCAATTCCCAGAAAGATCTGTTTCCATTACTCACTCATTGTCCCCATCATTATGATCGTCATCAAGAGAAGCAAAGACAGGATTCCAAGACTCACTGCAATGCGATGCCGGGGCACTGCAAACTCTTTAAAGAGAAAAGTAAGAATTAGCAGTGAAAAAGCCCAGCTATCTCTCACCTTAACCAGGGACATGGTTAAAAACAAAGGAAACACGGTCACAAATTTACAAGACTATATCTTATAAAATGATTTAGATTTTTAATCTGGAAACTGCAGCTTTACATTTTATGTTTTCTGGCTGATACAAACTGTTTCTAGAAATGGCCATGAACAAGATGGTTCTCCAAAGTTTCAAAATTATGTCCCATAAAGAGGCACCAACGACATAAGACATCTGGGAGAATGTAAAGTGGCGCGTGCAGTCTTAGCTGAGATCAAGCTAATCATGACAAGAACAAAGCAGGCGATGTTCTTGACAAAGTGGTCACCACCAGAGAATATTCTGATTTGCAGACATGATCAGCGTCCATCCTCACAGAACTTTCCTGAAATCCACTTTCCTTTCCTCACTGTCAATTATGTATTTTTGTAGGCAATGGTGTATACATCTTATTGTTTTGGTGGTCCTCATTGTTGGATAAATTGTGCCTATGATGATCACTAAACTGAAACACTACAGGTTATTCTCAACTAGGAGTTAAATAATGACCAGAAAAATCAAAATTTTCCTTCAACACAAATAGTTTGAATCATGATGGCCCTTCAGTTTATGTATGTGTGTATGTACCTAAAATCTTTTTTGTTTGTATAATAACATTGTTTAAATGCTTATTTCTATATTAAACATCTAATACATTTGTTTCTCTAAGAAATGCTAGGCTTTTTTTTTTTCTAAATCCTATTCTGTTCTTTGCTTTTAGACACCTCACAAACTATCCTTGGCCAAATTTAAATAAGCATATTCTATTAGTACTCAAATTTCTGAAAGTGTATTAATGTCCTCATCCTCTCAGTTTCTTGTAAGATCATTTAAAAAAATAAATTATTAAACAAATAATAAGTAATTCTTCCAGGTTAGCCAGCTCCAGTTTTCTTTTATAACTGGAAATAATGGCCAGAAGTGCATGTAAGATTGTTTTTAAACCTCTAGTTTGTCACCCCATGACATCGCATGAACTTGGATGCTCAGTTAGTATAACCTGGGTTGACATTATGATACAGGAGGGGTTAAGCTATCACTGGCAACACCGACACCTCATTTTGCTCTGGTTCAAGTCTCAGCTACTCCAATTCCAACCGAGCTCCTGGCTAGTGAACTTAGGGAAGCAGAAGATGGCCCAGGTACTTGAATGCATGCCATCCATGTGGGGCACCTGGGTTTTTGCCCAAGCTTCTAGCTTGACCAGACTCCAGCTGCTGCAGCCATTTGGGGAGTGAACCAGTCACTGAAAGATCACTTTCTGGTTTTCTCTTTCTCTCCTTGTAAATCTGCCTTTCAAATAAAACAAATAACGCTTAAACATAATATACATAAATACCTTTCTTGGCAGATTTCCCAGGCCTTCTGGTGCCATCAGGCCTTAATCTCTTCTGAGATTCTGAAGCAGACTGGAGAATTCTCACAGATGAGTAAGTCACCTCCTCCTGATCACCCATCTTCAGAAGAAAAGAAATGTTTGTGCAACAACTCTTTACAATACAATGATTTCTAAAGAAATATCCAAAGAGCAGCCCACAGGAACATACAAGGACTTGATGCTGAGAGGTCATTTTGTGTGTGTGTCTGTGAATATCTGTGTACCTGTGTTTATCTGTTGCAGTAAGTGCTTAAAGCATGTAGACTGAATTAATTTATACAACAAATGGAAATGCTGTTAATATATCCATGAAAATCATTTATGATCATCGGGACTATTGCCATCAATATCAGAATCTATAGAAAGAATTGAAGGGACTGCTAGTATATTATTATACTATTTACTCAGCTATCTTCACTTACAATATTTAGCGTACATATAAAAAGATTGGGCACAATCAGTGCCTTCTCATATCTTGGTGGCATCGTTAAAAAAAGAACTTAAAGCTCAAAAATTCTATATTCTGTAAAACTATATGTATGTTAGTTTTAAAAAATACATACCTTACTAGACATATAACTGTTTTAAAAGTTCTTTCTTTTCAATTATCAAGAGTCAATCAGAGAGCTTCCTGCGGTATATCTCATACATTATCTTTACATGATTTTGAGGGGTGATTATAAAAAAAGGGTAACATTTCAAAGCCCAGTGCCTTATGCAAGACAAACTGTCTACAAATTTTTTAGGTTCTTTCTAACATTGCCATAGAAACCTTTGTGAAAAATTATGTCAAAAGCTATTCATTAATTATTTAGTGACTATCAGGAGACAACCTAGTATTAATACCAATGAGTAAGAAATCATAAATAGCAAAATTTTTAAATTCACCTTGATTCCTAAACTAATCAGAAAGAAAAGATGATATCAAAGGAAGTTCAGGAAAAGGTGTAACTATATTATTTCATATGCATTATCAACTTATAAAATTTGGTATACGAACTGTTCACACTTTTTCTAATATCCTATTAAAAGTAGACTTTTCTACTCCAGAATTTTCAAATACACTCCTTTATGGATAGATAATACATAAATCATTTGTGTCAAATTAAACGTAACTTCTCAAATCTGTCTTCTTTAAGTGAATAACATAAATCGTAACTCAGAGCATACAGAGAGGGAGACGACAAGTTTCCATGAACACTAACTACAATTTATACATCTTTCAGCGTTCATGCTATTGTAATACAACACAGAGGGAATTCTGTCCTATAAATGTCATGCCCCGTTACTTGGAATTAAGCACTATATTCCTAGAATAAGCAGAATTAATAGGATAATCATATCAAAAGATGCAAGGGAATCAAAGCAGGTGTTACCTGGATCTATGCCGTGTAATGAAGCAGGTGGAAGCACTGGACCCCAATAGAACAAGACGCAGGCCACTCCAGTCCCACAGCTCTTGGGGGGCTCTAAGAGGAGAAGTGAGGTGTCTGAAGGATGAAACTCCAACTCAAACGTCCTGCCCCTCTTGTTGAAACAGTGGTGAAAGGAAACCATATGCTGAAAACTGTTGTTTACAGGAAAGGGAGGATGGTCATGAGCTGTGTGTGCCTCCATTTCAACTAACCAATCACTTCGTCCTGCTTGCAAAGCAGCATCGAAAATCAGAATTTGCGGACTGAAGAGAGAGCAATTAAGGTTCATGAAAACAGGATGATGCCTTTTAACAAACAGGTAACACATATAAAAGAAATCGCTATTCAATGGATGCCTAAAATATCTACATGTGTATACACATATGCAAATAGGGTCACAATTCGATACCTTAGCACACTTTTAAAATATTTTTCTTTCCTTGGGAAAACATTGATTAAATATATTCCTCTTTTAGGACTCATGCTTACTGTATATAAATGTGTTTCAGAAGGGTTTTTTTTAATATCCATGATTTCATTGTAAAAATTCAGTTTATATTCCTCTAGTCTTCTCTTCCAACACAATGCTTACCAGTGAAGTTGATATACATCAGTGCTTCCGATATATATTTTTTTATAATTATTCTTTTACACTAATGTTTCTTTGCTTCAGAACCATTCACTTAAAGCAGAAATAACTTTTATGTTTTCAAAGGCAGAACAACACAGAAACAGACAGAAAGTAGATAAATTTTGCATTTGCTGATTCAGTCTTACTACGCACATAGTAGTTTTAGTGGGGCTAGGTAGAACCCACTGTACCTTTGCCTACTGTACCACAATGTCCGTACTTAAAACAGGATGCAATAATATATATACAGTTACTGTCCACATAAGCATTACTCCCTTTACTTATTTAACCCTTCTCCTACAAGTGGACTTCTAGTTTTTTCCAGCCTTTTTTTAATATTAAAAAAAATTGGCCTGTGCTTTTTAATATTTTTAAGACATCATTTTAAACATAAAATTGCAAGGTTAAAGGGTATTACCCATGTAAAGAATCATGATACAGATTACCAAAAAACCTTCAGAGATATTGTCCCCCTGTAAATTATACCAGTTGTGCATGAAAATATTCACATCTGACTGTTTAAAAACATATTTCTGTAAATAAGGTCACAGAAAAAAAGGAAGAGATGAGGGACTGAACTTAGCATCCACTGATACAACCCAAGTTGAACCCATCCAGGTCTCACACATGGATGGCAGAGGCCCCAATGCTTGACATTTGACCTTCTGCTTTTTCAAACACATTAGCAGCAAGTCAGAGGGAAAAGAAGCAGCCAGGGGTCAGACAGTGCTGGCATTTCAAATGGCAACTTAAGCCAAAACACTGGATTTTTAAGAATATTCTACTTGAATTGTTCATATGTCTTAACTCTAATACTATTCTCCAAACACGTTTTGCAAGTTCTCACCTATAATTTTTTTCTTTTGCTTCTGAAATCATTGGTTCTTAATTATGGACCTATCTTTTATGTAAGATATTTGACAATCAGATATTTACTTATCTCAGGCTCAATTTTTTTTAATTAAAAAAATGATTAAAACTAAAGAGAATAGATTTCCTGTATTGTATAGGTACACTTCTAAGGAGATAGTTATGCTTCCTTCCCTCCTGTTTCCCTCTGTTAATTTTCTCTTTTCCTTTTTCTCTTTAATTTCATTTTGGATGATGTTTGTGATGGCTGATGTGGCTGGGCTTATACCAGACCCCACAAGACACTCAGACCTCAGCCCAGGACCAGAAAAGGCCACAGAGCCAAACATGTCACTGGGCCAGCAAGACTCTAACTGACCAATGATAAATCTAGACTGACACTCCTTACATAATTAGGATCTAGACAGAGCCTCTGCCAGCCTCCAAGTTGGAAGAGGTATAAAAGCCTCCCACAAGTTCCCCTGCCTGCCTTTTCTCCACACCCCTCTCTCCTTCTCCCTTCCTTAAAGAGTGATTCTCAAAGTCTCTTTGCATCTTTGTTACAACTGGCAGGTTTTGGAAGGGTGCAGGGTTTGGGGAAAGTAGATGAGACCACGGTTTCCACATTTTTTTTCTTCTTCCTGTGTCCTGGGGAAGGCAGGAAGATAAGTGGAGAAGACGCACCCAGCCTCCCAACTGCCTTAGAATCGAGGATGGGAAATGGCCACACAATGTCATCATCCCAGGGTCCCAGCGTAGCGCATACTCTGAGCTTTCTGCTCAGGTTGTATCAGTCATTCTGAAATGCTGTCAATCTCACCACTCCAAGGAGAAGGAAATCCTTCCAAGGTTCATTGACTGACAAGGAGCACCTTAGTCTCCATTGGCCCAGATATTTGCTACCAATGCTTGATTGTTGTAGTTGATCGATTTGTTCTGCCCTCCACCCTCTTCTAGGGCATCACATGTCTTCTGTCGGCCCCAGTGGACTGTCATATAATCCATGTGAGTCTGGGTATGCCGTCTACTGCTCCATCTTAGCCACTGAGGAGACCCAGTTCTGAAACATGAACTCTATGATCAGACCACAGATCCTGAAATTCTCGCCATAGTTGGGATTCTGAGACCAATGAATGGTTCAGTTGGAGGAGTCCCCCAGAAATACCTGATCTGAAATGATCTCAAACCTGACTGTTGCGTGTTCTTACCAGTACTGCTTCTGGCTCTGTCTGTCACCAACATCAACCTCCACATACACATTGGTAGTTTCAATTGATTGATCAGTTCTGTCTCCAACCCCATCACCTACACAAACCAGTGAGTGTGATAGACCAGGCTGAGCTTACCCCCAACACACTTGGCCCTGACAGCTGAAACAGAGTGACCACCAAAAGCACCCACAAAGCCCGCCTCCAGCCCTGGTTCCTGTGATTGCCAGTATGTGCAACATCCTGGTCTAGTCTGTCCCACCTCCCATGCGTCAATGGGCGCTGAAGTCTATCTCAACCCAACCAACCCACTATGCAGCCCACACTGTGCCAGCAGGTGCCTCCACCTATCTAGCCAGGCCTGCCGCCAGCTCTGTTTCTCATGCTCACCAGTAAGAGTTGCAACCCATCAGAGAGGTAACCAGAGTTTCTTTGCCAGTCCCAGATCTTGTACTCTGCAGGTGATTCTGCAGTCTAGCTTGACAGGATTTACCCTTAGTTCCAGCACTTGCCAGCTGATGCTATGGCAAAGCCCAACCAGCACACACTCACTCTAGCTTATGCATGCATCAGTGGGTAAAGTCTGTCCAGCCTTCCTGCTCTCCAACCTAGCTCACATGAAAACCAGCAAGTGTTGCAGCTCTGCCAGGCCTATTCTGCCCCTGATCCCAGCTCTCATACTCACCAGTGGGAACAGTGGCCCAGCAGGGATCTCCCCCAAAGTCCCCGTATCAGAGTCACCCCAACCCATCCTGCCCTCCCCCAGTCTCACGTGTGCTGGTAGGTGCTACGACCCAATCTGGCATGGCCCGTCTCATCTCGGCATTTGCTGGTGGATGCTGTAGCTAGTCCAGCCCAGCATATTCCCAGTTCTAGCTCATGCTGGTAGGTACTACAGCCTAGCCCAGCCCAGCCAGTTTCCAGTCCTGGTGCTAATGTTAACTGGCTGATGTTGTGGCCTGACGCATTCTATCCTGCACCTCATCCTGGTTCTCAGACCTGCCAGTGGGTGCTATGGACAGGCCCAGCCTGGCCCACCCCCATACCTGACCCACATGTAAGCTGAGAGGTATTGTAATATTGGGCTGCTCTCAGCCTTGGTTCCTACAATTACCTGCAGGGCCTGTATCCTGACAGAGAAGTTCCTCAATCCCTTCTATCAGGTCTCCTCCCAGTGGCAGATCTTGTGCAATCTGGAGGGTCCTTGGCCCAACCTAACTTAGTCCACCTCCTGTCCTGGCAGGAACAGTAGCCTTGCCCAACTAACCCACATCATTCCAGTTCTTACTGTTGGGTGTTTCAGCCCAGCCACACGTCATCCACACACTGACACAGCTCTCATGTGGTTCAGAGGGGGCAGAGACCTAACCTAGCTTTTTGCACCCACACTCTGGTTCACACAAGCACCAGTGGGTGCTGGAATCTATCCTAGTCTGGCATCCCCTAGACCCAGTACACATCCATGTCAAGGGACACTGCAGTCATGTCCAGCCCAGATTGCTGCACCCATTCCAGCTCTTGGGCTTACCAGTAGAAACCATTACCCAGCTGAGGCATACTCCTAGCTCCCCAATCAGGCCTGTTCCCAGCCACAGACCTTGTGCATGCCAATGGTTGCTCTGACCCAATCAAACATAGCCCATCACCCGTCTTGGCTGCTGCCATCAGATGTTGCAGCTTGGCCTGGACTGGCCTGTGCCCAGTCCCAAATCTCGCTGTTGAGTGCTGCTTCTTGGCCCTGTTTAGTCTTTTCTCATTCTTGGGTCATGCAAACCAGTAGGTGTGATAGCCTAGCCTGGAATGAGCCGCACTCCAGCCTGTCTCCAGCACATGCCTGTGGGGTAAGTTTGGCCCTGCCCATCTTCCCCACATCCAGAACCAACCTACACACTTGCTAATGAGTAAAGCTAACTTTCCAGGCCTAACCATCACCCAGGTCTGATCCCAAAGCTCACCAGCAGGAACTTCAGCCTACCAGGGGAGTTTCCCATGTTTACCCACCAGGCCCTTGCCCAGACCCAGATCTCACATGTGGCACCGGGTACCATGCCCTTACCCAGAATAGCCTGTCCTCTCCATTCTGGCCTATGTATGTGCTGGTGAATATTGTGGTGTAGCTTGCTGCATACCTCCTTATTGGGTATGGCTGCAAGTGCTGCAACCTGGACCTTCTCAGCCTTTTCTCAACCCCAGTATCCATGAGTGTCAGAGGGTTCCATGGCCATGCCTAGCTCAGCCCGTCATTGCCCTCAACTGTTAATCTAACCTGCAGAAATAGCAGCTCCACAGAGGTAGGCCCACATATCTGCCCCAGGACGTGTTCTCTCATGTGCTGGTTAGTGTCTTGGCTCAGGCCAACATTA